AGGGAGGGAGAGGAAGAAGCAGAAGGTCCTTTTATCAATTTTGGGGTGGGCTATTGCTTATGTATGAGGAGTGAGCTACTTCTAACCTATCACAGGCCAGATTGCTTTTATGGGCCCAGTCCTGCAGACACAGGTTTCAACTTTCCTGGACCACTGTGGCCTTGGGGGGGAGGGAAACCAGAGATAAGGGCATGAGGTCATTTTAGGAGCCAAGAGGTACCAGGAGAATGCAGCCTGTGAGGCGGCGTCACAGCACACTTTAACATGATCAATTCCCTAACAGCATTTACTTATGTTTTAGAATGAAGTGAAGAGTTCCTGCATGAAAGATCTGGTGACATTATTCATCAGAGAGTATCATGAGGAGCTCGTGCTTGTGCTCCATGCATTTTGGGAGGCTGAGGCAGAAGGATTCAAAGTTGGAGCCTATCCCAGGCAACTTAGTGAGACTCTGTCTCAAAATAAAAATTAAAAAGGGCTGGGATGTAGCTCAGTTTGAGGACCTTGGGTTCAATGCCCATCACTGGAAAAAAAGTATCACACGGAAAAGGCAGGTTTAAAGGGGGAACTTGTGTCTCAGAGCTCTAATAATATGGTGTCAGATATGTGTAGAGGGAGATACTGGAGTTAGAAAAAGGACAACAGAGTTGGTATTTGATATTGTACAGTACTTTCTGCCCAGCCCAGGGAAGATGGAGCTAACACTGTTTCAACTATACTACTAAGGCTGTGTCACTTGGGAAGCAAACTGGCATAAGTACGTAAGAATCTAAAAGAACTATAGAGTAACTCAGTTTAGAAACAGGTGCTAGTGACATGTTGTAGCTACAAGTGCAATAGGAACATAAGAGTGAATTAATTTTTTTGAGACAGGGTCTCACTACGTAGTTGAGACTGACCTGGAATTCACTATGTAGTCCAGGCTGATCTCAAACTCACAGTGATCCTCCTGCCTCAGCCTCCCAAGTGCTGGGATTACAGGCATGCACCACCATGCCTGGCTCGAGTGAATTAATTAATGAGGACTGAAAGTCAGAACACACACACACACACACACACACACACGCACACAGTCCTAACACTAGAACAGATGCCTCTGCAAATGTATTCTAGGGCTGGCAGGATAGCTCAGGCGTATAAGGCTTGCCTAGCATGCCCTGGGTTTGATTCCCAGCACTGCTAACAAATTTTACCTAATGGCTGTTAAGCGTGAGCACCCCTGTCAAGAGCTGAGCATGAGCAGGCAAGGTACAGTCCCTGGGCTTTACAGTCTCAGTCTTACCAGGGACACAGACACAGCAGCCTTACAATGGCCAGGATCTCCTTACTCAAGACAGATAAACACAGACACGAACGTGTAACGGCAATGAGAAGGGCTAGGAAGAAACATAAATAGGAATAAAAGGACAGAGCAAGCAGGGGAGCATGCTCAGAGACAATAACTTCTGGCAACATGTGAACAAAGGCTCAAATAAATGAGGGAGGTTTTGTGGCTATGTTGGGGAACGGCCCCCGAGTAATGGGACTAAGCATAGAGACACATTTGTGCTTGGACAGCGAAAGAAAGAGAACACGTGTCTGGGGTGAGTGGAGGGAGAAGGAGTTTCTGAGGGCACGAGGTCACGGAGGATGTCAGGGAGGTCGTACGGGGCTTCGAAAGCTATGGGTAGGACTGTGGGTATTACTGATGCTCAATTTGGAAGGTCCAGCGGAAATGAACCAGGGTGGTCTGGGCGTGGAAGACCTGAGGACTGTTTCCAATCCTCAGCGTGAAAAGACAGCTGGAGGGGAAGATCCGGGTTTTCCTGAACGTGAGCTTGGCTGTTCTCGGCAGAGGAGGAGCTCGGGGCCTCACTGTAGCTGGGAATAGCTGCTGTTCTTGTCAGGGGAGCTCTGACCTTCACCGTGAGCGTCACTTCCTGGCTCCGGTGTGGATCCCTCAGCCTGGTGACACAGATCCTTCGCCCCACCCGTGCAGGCTTTCTCGCTTCCATCCCTGGCCTTTGGGCCTTTTGGATGCAGATCCTCAATACGGGGCAAGAGTGAGGCACTGTCGTGAGCTCTCGGCCTCTGGCTGGACTCAGGGAGGACACTGCCTTAGGCTCTAAGCCTTCATTCAGCGGAACTGCGCGGGACACTGCTGTGGGCTCCAGGCTCTCGGCTGGATTCTTTGGGTCTCTAGCGTGTGGTTAGATCTCTTTTACTCCTTTGCCTTTGACTTTTTGGGTGGATATTATAAAAATAATCTTATAAATTATGTGTCCTATATTAAATATATTTCCCTTGCAAACCCTGACTACAACAAAAGTTGAGAAAAGGGGCGAGGGATTTAGCTCAGCAGCACAGAACCTGCCGGCAAATGGTGGTTTCTGAATTCAACCCGCAGAATCCCCCCCCCAAAAAAAACCCCCCCAAAAACAAAAAACAAAACCAGAGACAAGAAAAGATATGCAGAGGAATTTTAGCTTGTTGTCATAAGTGGGATCGCATTTACAGGTTTTGGGGTATAGGAAAATAAAGCTGCAATTGGTATTGGGCGAGCTCAATTCAGCATGTAGGGAAGATTGGAGAGGAGCCCAGAAAAACTGGCCCCATAGCTGGAGCGCATGACGAGAACTGGCCAGGGTGGGCAGTGACAGCAGTACGAACTACATAAAGAGTTTTCACAGAAAGCAGTGCGCTTTCCTGGGTGGGAGTGGGATGACTGCTTTTGTGACACAGCTTCATGGCAGGTGACTTCAGACACAAGTCCGTGTCGGTTAGAGGCAAATGAGGCCGAAGGAACCGTTCCTAAAATGGAGCCACAAGAGAGTTTCAGTGGCCAGAACTGCTGTTTGGACAAACTAATCTGTAACCGAAACTGCTGCTTTGTTTGAAATAGAAGCACAACAAATAAAATAATAATATATCTACAAGTAATAAAATAAAATAATGATTTGGTCCCCAATACATAAAGTAATGAAATAAAAATAATTAAAAGACTTAAAATAATCTTCCGGTAACCAAATCGGTCCTGTTTGTCACTTCCAGTGCAGCAGTCAGGAGCCAGTGGGTGCAGGGGTCCTGCTGTGAGGCTAAGTCCGTTCTGTAAACCAGCACAATGTTTTAGGAATGTCTGTCTTCCTGTTTGGAGCAAAAATCATCAAATGTACTGGGTTTTCTTTGTGTGATGCTTGTTTCTTTACTGAAACAGTTCCTGGTCACTATTTCTGTTGTTTATCGTTTCCTTTCTGTCTGTATTGATGGTACTCTACTAGTAAGCCCCTTTTATTTTATTTTTTGGTTTTTTGAGACAGGGTCTCACCCTGTAGTTGAGACTGACCTGGAACTCACTATGTAGCCCAGGCTGGTCTCAAACTCACAGTGATGCTCCTCCCTCAGCCACCCCAGTGCTGGGATTACAGGCGTGTGCCACGATGCCTGGTTTATTTTTGTATTTTGAGACAAGGTTTAGCTAAGTAGCCCAGGCTGGACTTGAAATTTCAATTCTTCTGCTTCAGTCTGTCAAGTAGATGGGATGACAGGTATGTGCCACCATGCCCAGTGTCTCAATATTTAAAAAAAATTTTTTTAAATTTTTTTTGGTACTGAGGATTGAACTTGGGTCCTTGTGCTTGGGAGGCAGGAGCTGGAACTACTGAGCTAAATCCCCAGCCCGATTTTTAAAAAAATTTTTTGAGACAGGGTCTCACTACATAGTTTAGGTTTGTCTTGAAATCACTATGTAGCCAAGGCTGGCCTCAAACTTTAAGTGATCCTCCTGCCTCAGCCTCCCAAGTTCTGGGATTACAGACACACACCACTGTACCCAGTTACCTCAATACTTTCAAGCTACTATACAATGAAAATGTAAAAAATTCGACAGATTTATAGTCTTAGGGGGAATAATAGCATCAGAGAAATTGGAGAGGGTGGAACTTTTTTTAAGAGTAGGAAAATTTATTGGAAAATAGAAATGGGGATAGGAATGGGGAATAGGAATAGTTCCTGAGAGACAGGAGAGATTCCAAATGGGTTGCTCAAGAAACATTTTTAAGAGAAAGCATTATTTACTTATTAGCAAATTTTTATGTTATTTAACTGAGTTAACCAAGGAGGTTATTTACTTTTAAAAATCTCTGAACACACAGACATTGCTTAAACAGAACAAAGTTCGAAGAAAGCTGAATTTAACCATATCAAACCCCTGTGCCAAGGCTAACAAAAGGAGTTCCACATAAGTAGCAAATTAAAGTTTGAGATCAGGCCCAGCACTTCTCTTAGAAGAATGACCTTGATTTTTTGTCTGACCTCATGAAGATTGTTCCTCTGAGATCTTTTTTTCTCTTTAAAACAGTGAGAGGCTTGTTTGTGTATCTTTTTAAGTGTTCACAGTGGATATGTGTTTTGGGATTTTGTGGTAGGGTGCTAAACTGAAAATAATTTGACCAAAAGTGTCATCATCTGAAGGAAGACTTTATACCTGGATCTCATAAATAAGGGACTTTAATTATTGAATTCCACTCCCAGCAAATACATTTTTAGTAAGGTTGTGACAAAAATGTTACAACGGTAAGTTAACAGAAAATTTCACATTTTGTTGGATCATACTGCTTTTTAGGCCTGAGACAAGGGGTTAGATCTTTTCCATGTGACATTTCATGGCAGGCATCTGATGTTAAATGAATTAGGTAAGATGTACTTCAGCCTGAGATTTTGAAACCTGCAGCACGGCATTTTCCTCAACGGTACGAATCTTTGCAGTAATGCTTTGTCACTGGTTCAGAGCAGGAAAAAAACCTAAGTAGAGCGAAGTTAGCTAAGATTACCAGCTGAGGTCATTAACTGTGCGGGGTCTATTCAACCAGTTTCTACTTCTCTTTGGCCTCAAAAGTTAAAAAACAAAAACAAAAAACTACTCGAAAACGAAACAACCAAAGCAACAAAAAACCCTAATTGCCCAGAAAGGAAATGTGACTTCTTAACTGTAAGCTCCTTAACTGTAAACTGCCACTTAGATGCGCTGTTCAGGGTGCAGTAAAAGAGCTTCAGAGTGACTATGCCGTGAGTCAGCCAGGTTCAAGATTAGAGACCTCAGAGTCCTCCAAAAAGCAAAGTCCTCTTCCTCCTCCTCCTCCTCCTCGGCTCGATCACGAGTTTAACACGGGTACGCCACCTCTTTAAGAAAGTCCCTTGCAATCTGCCCCTGGGACCTGACCCCAGATGGGAAATGAACCGGTTCGACCACAGGTGGGACAATGCCCACCGGGG